GGGGGGTAGATAAGGTACCAAGGGGATGGCAAGTGGGGGAGGTCGATGGTGGAGTTGGGAGTTGGACCAAAGTGTCGCTCCAGACTGTCACCCCAAAATTAACAGCATTGAAGAAAAAAAAAACGGAGGAAGAAGAAGAAGAGGAGAAAACGAAGATGAAGAAGAATGACAAGAGACCAAAAAGACGAAGACCAAGAAGAGGAAGAGGAAGAAGAGGGTGGTGGGGTCAATTGGGGAGTTTGGAGGCCGACCGGAGTGAAAACTCCTCCCAAAAAAAAAAAAAAAAAAGAGGAGGAAGAAGAAGAACGACGAGAGACCAACTAGAAGAAGAAGAAGAAGAAGAAGACAAGGGCGACTAGGGGAGGACGAGCGGGGGAGGTCAGTGGGGGAGGTCAGTGGGGGAGTCGGGAGGTTGGCCGAAGTGATGCGCCGAGGGTCGCGTTGGAAGTAAAAATCAAAATTGGAAAAAAAAAGAGGAGGACGAAGAAGACGAAGGAGAAGAACACCGAGAGACCAAGAAGAAGAAGCAGATGGCGCCCAGGAATACACAACAGACGCGATGGCAGGTTTTTTTGGAGTGGATGGCGAGACCGGGCATGTTAGTCAATGGCACAGTCAGGGGCAATGTCTCACAGCAGCAGTGTGCGTGCTTGGTGGTCTGCGTGCCTGTCTGAGTGTTTGTCGGCCTGAGTGTGTGTGTGACCCGCAAGGGTACTTGTTCGTTTGGAGGCCCCACAGGGCCGGTACTTACCTGTGGCTTTGACATTGAGGGTGCAGCGTGGGAAAACACTCAAGTGGCGGGGAAAGAGGCCCGCAACACTTCGAGCAGTTGAAAACACTCTAGTAGCACGTAAGCCGGTACCACACCAAGTAGAGGTGGATGTGCTGGATACTCGAGGCCGAGCAGAAGAAGACAAAAAGTTGGCATTTTTAGAGGCCAAATAGTTGTAGGCTAGACCTAGGCGAGTACCAGTCCATCCAGTCTGAGTCTAGGGCCTGTACGGACAATATCAGAGCCTGCAATGATGTTTCCCTCTGAAAGGGAGGAGGTACCGGTTGCTGGGAGGCTGCACGGCCTAGGAAGTCACCGCCAAGAGGCAAGTAGGCCGCTACATCTTCGGGAGAAGCAAGTAGCTCCTCCTCATTTCCGGTGCGCAAGTATTGGCGACATACTGCTTGAGCGGGCAGCCAGGACTCATAGTGCTGCGTGGAGGAAGGAGAGCAGCTGGGCTCTCAGCCTGGCTATGGCGAGCAGCCCAGCCTGAGGAGGTGGAAGAAGGGGGGGCGAAGGAGGAGAGTGGCGAGGTACCTACCTGGCTATAGTGGACACCATCTTCATCACCTTGATAGGCGCTGCATCTGGAAGGCCCCAGTTGGGGTAGTGCCGCACCAAGGAAGCTCGAGGCAGGGTCAGGCATGGCGGCCTGATAAGCAGCGACCAAAGCTGCTTTGTGTTGTCCTTTGCACAGGAGGGCAGAGCCCTTAGTAGTCCGGCATAGCCTTGGCATGTGAGAGGAGGAAGAAGGGGAAAGCCATGGCTGTGGTGGACCCGTTGTCGTACTGGCAGTAAGAGGGAACTTCGGATATTGATTCTGGTCCATAAAATCGTTGTTATTATTATTATTATTTGGAAGAAGAATAAGATTGGCAAAGACACAGAGGGTGGGGAAGGCGGAGAGAAGGGGGATTCGTCATTGGTCTTGCTGGTGTACATCTTCTTCTTCTTCTTCTTTGGTCTCTATCTCTTTGCAAGTCCTTGCATTTCTTTCACAATTGGGTGGCAATATCTTTCCTTGTGAATTTGCACTTTGGGAATCACCAGGATCGTAACATATCTCTCTCTCTCTCTCTCTCACTCACACACAGACACACACACACACTCTCTCTATCTATCTCTATCTCCCT